CACAGGTAGGCCTCTCTTCCTGACCTCCTGGGGCTTCTTGGGCCAGCTAGCCTATGCCCAGCTTGGGTGTTCTAAAGCACTTTAGCTCCACTGGTTAAGTGCCCAGTGGAACCCCACTCTGCTCAGTCCTCTTACTCTGTGGGTTTGAGCAAGCCTAGCTCTAACAAAAACTGCCTAGAGGCAGCCCATTTCATCAGCAAACCTCCTGCCCAAGGCACTCAGCCTTCTTGTTTCATGAACCAGGAAGTCCACTGTACCATCCTGCACCGTTCTCCTGCAATTTCTCTTCATCTCCACCATCTCTCATTCTCCTACGTCTAGGAGTTTCACAATGCTGGAATGATCCTGGGTCCAAAGGATGCTCTGTGCTACCAGCGCCTTTTCTTGGTGGTAGTAAAGTTCCAGCACAGTCCCATCCAATGCTTTGGTGGGTGTTATAAGAGCATGTCTAAAAAGGCCATGGGAAAGTGATGCCTCGTACTGCAGCTGTGGGACAGCAGACATGCCTACTTTGTTAGCAGTAGATCCTCAGGGGCCACAGGTACTTGTAAAGATGAACGTTTCTCCAAAAGTAGTGGGAAGAGTGTCTAACTCCACTGTCCAATATGATAGCCAATAGCCACATGTGGCTACAGCACAGTTGACAAGGAGCCATGGTGGCACAGTGAGTTACGCATTAAGCTGTTAACTCAAAGGTAGGGGTTCAAACCCACCAGCTGCTCCTCAGGAGAAATATGACAGTTTGTATACTTCTGTGAAGATTTACAGCCTCAGAAACTTTTATGAGTTCTACTATAAGGAGCTCTGGTAGCGTAGTGGTTACGAATCTGTAACCTCAGGTTCAGCAGTTCGAAACTACCAGCTGTTGCATGGGAGAAATATGAGGCTTTCTGCTCCCGTAAAGATTTACAGCCTCGGAAACCCTGTACAGGGTGGCTATGAGTCAGAAACGACTCCATGGCACACAACAACAACTCTATCGTATAAAATTTTCCCAAAGAATTTTCTCCTTGTACTTGGTTCCTGAAGAAGCTCTGGTAGCGTAGTGGTTACAAGTCGGGCTGCTAACCTCAAGGTCAACAGTTGGAAACTACCAGCTGTTCCTTGGGAGAAAGATGAGGTTTTCTGCTCCCATAAAGACTGACAGCCTCAGAAACCCTACGTAGTGTCATCATTGAGTTGGAACCAACTCCACAGCACACCACCACTCTGTCCTACAGGATCACTATGGGCCACTCAATGGTCCTGGATGGGCAACTGTGACATATACACCCGATTTCAAAGACTTTATATGAAAAAAGATACTGAATGTATTATTGGAACTACTTTTACGTTTTTTTTTACTTTTTAAAGTGTGGTACTTTAAAATGATACATGCGGTTCACATTACATGGGATACCACTATGGACTCCTGGTATGACGCTGTAGGATTAACACTGGACTGTGAACCACAGGGTCAGCAGTTCAAATCCACTAGCTGCTCGTAAACACTATACAGGGTCGCTATGAGTCAGAGTTGACTCAATGACATTTAACAGCATGGCAGACTGAATAAATTTTATACTCAAATACTGGGAATTAGTACTTTATAGGCTATGGATTTGCTAATATACTTTATTCCTTGCTTTTGTGGGGTGGGTTGGAGGTAAAGGTTGAGTAAGAGTCTACAAAGTATTTCAGGTTGAATCTTAGAAAGCAGCTTTTGAAAACAGTCCAACTGCAATGAATAGTAAAGAAGAGAATGGCCTTTACCTATTGGGGGGGCACTTTTGCATAGATGTGATGAGCCAAAAAAGCAAGTCTCCCTGGGATCTAAATTGAGAGGCATATTTTAGGAAGCTGCAGAGAAGCCTGGCTTAGAGAACCCCATTTGATCTGAGCACTGAACTTTTACTATCCACCTGAAATAAATGAAAGATAATCTTTGTTTTCTTGAATTCATCATGAATAACTGACCATACTTTAGAACTAAGAAATATGGAGGAAATACTGCCAACCCAGACAAAGAGGTATTCAACAGGAACAAAAGCACAAACCTAAAACGGTTTCTGCTAGCCTTTATTTGTAAAAATTTACACAAAAACCCCTACCTAACAAATTAATCTGTATAAATCCCACATGCTGCTTTCCCATTAAACAAATGAAAAAACGGCTTATGACAAAGGTTTCTGATAATGACTGACCTAATAAACCTTCCTTAAAATGCATCATTCTCATTTTTATTATACAGGCCATATTGAACGGTATGCTCAAAAGTGGAGGAAAACAAATAACATCCCCACATTGTTACAGTGGCTTTGCTCTTGCACTAGCCTTTTATCAAAGGGAAGTCATTTTATTTTTCAGATAAAATAATGCTAATTAGATTAATTAACTTTAAACCCAAAACAGAAATGCTGGAGTTGGTATTTTGGCATGAGGAGTCTGGTATGGTGCTGTAGCATAAGCAGTAAACTGCTAACTGTAGATCACTGGCTCAAACCTACCAGTTGCTCCTTGGAAACCCAATACAGGGTCACTATGAGTTGGTATCAACTTGATGACACTTAACAACACAGGCAAGTACATAAAAGAATCTCAGTGTCCTGCAGCTCAAGTTTAGAGTCACATTTGGGAAGAAAAACATCAAGATAAAATTCTCTCCTTTCCTATTTTCTTTGACTTTTTGTCAGGACAGACCTTAACCAACTAAGTAAACTTTGTTGCTCATAAAAAGGGGAAAGGCACCAGTCAGAAATAGGAAAGAGTATCTAATGGTACAGAATAGAATTTCAGCTTTTGATGTTAAGGATAGATGATAACCCACAAATGTGTTTATGCTTTTTTCCTGCTTGGATGTATCCTCTGTCATTCAGTATATGAAACACTACAGCTAGACCTTCTCAGTAACAGTGGCCCTAAGGCAGGGGTGGGGAACCTTCTTTCCTCCAAGGGCCATTGGGTATTTATAATATCATTCAAGGGCCATACAAAATTATAAACTTAAAAATTATCCTGCTATATTTGGTCAGGAGTCCTGGCGTGGCACTGTAGGATAAACACTCAACCACAGGTCTGTTTGAATCACACAGTTGGGGTCAAACTCACCAGCAGCTCCTGAGAAACCCTATACAGGGTCACTGTGGTTAAGAACTGACTCGATGGCACCTAACAACAACACATTTGGTAAAACATTTAATTAACTCACCTCTATGCTGTGCGTGGAGTCCTGGTGTGGCGCTATGGGTTAATGCGCTGGATTGCAAAACCATTTGAATTGCAAGGTCAGTGATTCAAGCTCATCAGCTGCTCCTCGGAAACCCTATACAAGGTTGCTATGGGTCAGAACTGACTCAACAGTACTTAACAACAATGCTGTGGGAGAAAAGCACTGGACTGTAAGGTCGGTTTGAAACACAAGGTTGGCAGTTCAAACTCAACAGCGGCTCCTTGGAAACCCTATACAGGCTCTCTAGAAGTTAGAACCAACTTGGTAGCACTTAACAACAACGTGATGGCTGGAACTGCAGTTGCCTTAGCAGAGACAGACCAAATGATATCACAGGGTCGGATGTTCTCCACCTCTGCCCCAAGGCAAGGAGTCTACTGCCAGGTTCTCAGAAGCAGTCCCTTTCAATTCCTAACAGCAGATGGCAATGTTGTACAAGTTAGAAAGAACCATTAATCACCACACTATCCGGAACATTAACAAAACAACCTGAGATTTAACATAACTCACTCCCTCTTCTACCTTTGAACTTTATCCAAGGCACAACTACTGACTTCTCTGTCAATTCTAATATGCTGCTTCTAAACTGCAAGCTTTAAAGGCCATGAACCTATAAATCCTGTAATTATTGCCATAGCAATGAGGCAAGCCCTGTAACAGTCAGTGGAGTTTTAAACAGAGATTACAGAAAAACAGTTATCCACATTCCTAGAAGTGGGAAAACCTCTAAGTGATTATGGTATTTTTCATAATTATGAATTTGGTCATTTGTATCCATTCATTTAATTAACATTAATATTGCCCTTTAGTCACCTGATAGTTCCACAGTGATTATTTCATAGAATCTCTAGTCTAAAGTCTCTAGATAGAGCTTTAGTAATGAAGTCAGTGGCTGGCCATGCATGAAGACCTGGTAAGTTTTAATCTTCCCCTTGGCAGAAATTGTGTTAAAAATTCAAACTGCCACATTCAAGAAAGAACCTGTATCTGAGATACATAAGGAATCCTTAAAACTCAAAATAAAAAGAGCAGACAACCCAATTAGAAAACTAGCAAAAGATATGAACAGACACTGAGGAGGAACTACAGATGGTATAAATAAGCACTAAGGAAACGCAAATGACAACGATGAGATACTACATACACTTAAAGGAACAGAATGGCTACAATTGAAAAAGTAATACCAAATGCTGGTATTGACACCAGATCACTAATACATTGCTAGTGGGATGGTAAAATGGTACAGCCACTTCGGGAAAAAAACATGTACTTACCACAACACCCAGAAATTGCTCTCTTTAGGCATTTATCTCAGGAAAATAATTTTACGCTCACATAACATCTTGTACATGATTGTTCACAGCAGCTTTATTCATAATGGCCCCAAATGAAAGACAACCCAAATGTTCTTCAGTGGTTAAACAAACTGTGGTACACCCACACTATAGAGTACTTCACAGCAATAAAAAGGAACAAACTGTTGATAAATGCAACATTTTAGCTGAGTTCAAGAGAATTAGGCTGAATGAAAAAAGAAAACCTCAAAAGGCTACATACTATAGGATTCCATTTATATACCATTCTTGAAATCACAAAATTAGAGCGATGGAGGCTACTTTAGTAGTTGTCAGACTTTGGGCATAGGGGAGGAAGTTGACCGTGGTATAAAAATGAGAGCATGAGGGGTCTCCCTGTGATGGAGCTGGTCTCTATCTTGTGGTGACCACACCAGTCCACACACATGGTAAAATTGCATAGAACTATAAATACACGTGCACAAAAAGAAAAAAAATTCAAACAGTTGAGCACAAATATTTTAATTCTCTTAACAAATTGAAATTTTCTTTAAGAGTTATCTACAGTTCCAAGCTCACTTGTATGAGGTGTTAGTTACATCCTTCACCTTTTTGAGAGACGTAAAGAGTTATGAAAAGGATATCACCAGGAGCTACCTAGACGTTTCCACTAAAGGGCAGAGAAAGTTAAGAGTGTTTTCAAGGGGAAACCCAAAAGGGACAATCAGCATGAAACAAGTTCAACATGGTCACACAGATCTGGGTAAAGGAATTAAGAGTGGAAGCCCAAGCTCGTAGACAAGGGGGAGAAGGAAGGAAAACATGGTTCAAACAGATCACATGAGGAAACCCAGTACAAATGCTGGCTTTGGCATTATCTAGGTAACCCCTAGTTTTTTTCATAGGTGACCCTAATAATAGACCTATTGTTACAAAACCAGTCCAAATCCTACCAAGAGAAAAAGAAGTCCCTCATTGGCTTGTTGGGTCTAGGTGGTACCCCATGTCTCCCCACCCGAGATCAGTTCTGGCAAGAAAAGCTCCAACGTGCCTTGATGGTGCTTTTGGGAGGGTGCCTCGAGTCAGGCACATTCCAGCGATGTTCTGCTGAGTGAGATCCAAGGTGGGAGGGGACTGTGCCTCATTACTCAATCAACTTCTTGGCTTTGAAGAAGCGACGCAGGTAGAACACCTGCCAGGTGGCTAGTCCAATGAGACAGAACATTGAAAAGATGCTGAAATACAGGACTCGAGTGTTCGTGGACTCTAAAAAAAAAACCCAAAAGCACTGTAAATGTAATGAACTGAGAGGCCCAGCTGGTTAAACAATGGCTAGTGGGGAGAGAAGGCAATTCATTAACTACAATCTGTTCCTAGACCTAACACCAGAATTTCAGCTAATTATAAAAAAAAGAAAATGCTATTTTTATGTAAAATGTTAAAAATGACAAAGATTCGTATTATAAAATGTATGTGCTATAAACTAATTGGTCAACTGCACATCACAGGTGAGATTTCTAGTCTCTTAAAAACCTAGCAATGCTCATTTGCTTTTGGCAACAACAACAGAAGTATAAGCAATTCTCCCATTCCACAGATCTCTTTGACAAAACTGAGAAAAGGTGGACACCAGAACATAGAGTTTGGGGATCTGTCTTCTTTGTGGCTCACTTATTCTGAAAAGAAGAGCCATCCCCCTCACCATTGGTATCACGCATCTCCTCCTCCCGTCTCTTCATGTAGGCAAAATCATTCACGATGGACTCTGACAGGTCCTCTAGGCGTCGCAGCTCCACCTCTAAAGGTTTGAGCTTCTCAACCTTTGCAATCTGGAAAAGAAAGGAATTATGAGTTCCATTCCCTGAAAAAAACTGTGCAAAGGAATGAGTGAACAGGTATTATGATGACATTAAGACAGTAACTCAACACACAAGATGGGAGAATTCTGGATTGTTCCATTAAATACAACAGTTTCAAGGTCTAGATCATAGATCCCAGAGCCAAGCTGAGTCCTGCTGCCAGGTGCCGCTGAGTCCATTTCAACTCCTAGCACTCCCAGGTGACAGAGCCCTAGAGGGTTTTCTAGATCGCCATCATTAAGGGAGCAAATTGCTAGGTCTTTCTCCTCTGGAGCCACTGGGTAGCTTCAAACAGCCAACTTTATAATTAGGAGCCAAGCACTTAAGTTTTGCACCACTAGCATTGAGATGAGTCTTAGGTCTGCACTAAAAAAAAATTGTACTGAATTGCTTTAAAAACACACACACACACACACACACAGCTCAGTTATCAAAAGAAATCTCCAGTTACCCCACTTATGCTGAGGGAAGAAGAGTGTCGGACTAGTCTCGTTTCTCAACCCAGACCACTGTAAAACCACCAGGTGTCTCTAAGAACTAGAGGTCGCAGCACAAGATGGCAGATTTCCTTATTCTAGTTATGCTCTTTTGTTTCACTTCTTAGACTAAGACCCACTTTACTTTTAAAATGGTGACACACCACCAGAGCTTTTCAGCTTTTAAATCTCTGTAAGATTTCTCCACATAGGGAATTCTGTAACTCCATCTGCATCTGCTTCTTCACTCCCTATTTATCCAGTATTCACTACGGACAGCCCTGTTTTCACCTTTGTTAACTGTCAACGGCAGTTTACATGGGGTGAATGGGAACAGCTGAAGGGTGATTTCTGTTTTCTTTGCTAGCTATAGTCTTCTTTTGATTATGAAGAATACAAAAGTTGCTTACAGCAAAAGAAAACTAGAAATTACCATTAACATGGGGATATAAAAATTAAGTTTGTATTTATTGGTACACAAAAATGTAATGGATTTGCAGTGAGCCATGTAAGTTTTCTTTCACTTGACGTGTTTTTTCAGATTTGCAAAATGTTTGTTCTAGTTAATAGTGTGACTGACAATGACTGAATACACAAAAGTTAACTGGCTATAGGAGCCCTGGTGTGGCACTGTAGGATAAGCACTGGACTGCAAGGTTGGTTTGAATAGCAAGGTCAGTAGTTCAAACTCACCAGCCGCTCCTTGGAAACACTATACCGGTATGCTATGAGTCAGAACCGACTCAATGACACTTAACAATAACTGGGCATAAGATTTAAGCTATAGGAGAACTTCCGGCGCTTCCCTGACCAGGCAGCACAGAGTAGACACTGGAGAGGGAGAGAAAGGAATAGTCAGAAACATCACACTAGAAGGCTTGTAAGTCCGTCTTCTGCCTATGACTAAAATACCTAAAATGGGGCTACAGCGTACCCAGTGAACGAGGCTTCTTGCGGAGCCTTTGCAATACATAAAACTATAGGTAGAAACCGGAACCACATCCAGATCTCCAGAGATGAGAAATCTCCACTTGAAAGGATGAGCAGACCATCCTGGAGCGGCTAGAAGAATAAAAGATACCTCTTGAAAGAAAGACCTGCAGGAAAAATGGAGGCAGATGGACTGTTACTACAAGAACAAACAAATCGCTTCCCTAGGAAACATCAAGGCAAGTGGCCAGGTCCTCTCAACGCAAACCCCCTTCCAAGACTAAGACTGCATGCTCTGATCGGTGACCACACACATCACCGATGGAGGGAAGTGGCGTAAAAGCAGCAATGAAGCGGCAAGCTAAGCCCTACAATGTTCAGTGGACTTCTGTGGACCCAGTTGGGGACCTGGTTGGCAAGCAGTGTAAGGAGACCTGGGAACTCTTGGACCCAGAGTCAGTGGCATGGCCACGGAGGACTCGAGAGGAGAGTGGAGCAACCGGCTAACGGGAAGAGAGGGCATGTGCACAGGAGCGCCCACACTTGCAAATGATACCCACGTGACCTGGACCGGATGACTGGATGATCGGAGCTCATCCAGGAGAAGAAAGAAGAGGGTAAAAAAAAAGAGTGAGCTGATACAATCCGATGAACTTGACCTATACATATGGAGCAGCAACTCAAAAGAAGGAACAAATCCTTACAGCAAGACTCATTCCCACCCCCTCCACACACAGAGTGGATGGAGATGGGCAACTTGGACACTGCAAGAAACATTCCTACCCCCTCCACACACAGAGTGGACGGAGATGGGCAACTTGGACACTGGATACTCAAATGGGGAGGGGGGGACTACAAAGGCAAGAAGTGACTGGCTTACAAGCTTTCAAGAGGGAACCCAGTGCTAGGGAGCATGGAGGAAGGCAGAATCTCCAGTGGGTACAACTCAATCTGTCTGCGCGGAACGGATGAAAAGAAATACAGATGGGTAACTCGTGATACTATAGTGAATAATGCTTATCAGGACGGATTGTGAGTGTTGGAAATGCAAAGGTAGACGTTTTGTAACAAGGAAGGGAGTGATTAATTCTCCAGGATAGGAGCGGAGGTCTCTGGGACCATCAACGGAGAAGAGCCGAGAGCGGGACCCTACCCAGAGAGACAGAGATGGCTGAGACAGAGACAGAGACAATGACATGGAGTGATGAAGGGGCTGGGGACTTTGGATCCAGAAAGGGAAAGGGACTATGGGCCGAAAACTGGGTGTGTGTGTGTGTGTGTGTGTGTGTGTGTGTGTGGTAGTGTAAGGGGTGGGTTTTCTAGGATATACCCTTTGGTTGGTTGATGATGCATGGAGGAAATTGGAACCATGGCAATGAGATGATATACGATGGAATGAATGTAAAACTAAAGTTCTCTCATGTAAACTATCATATAACTCACAATAAAACATTAAAAAAAAAAAAAAAAGATTTGAGCTATAGTTGATGCATTGAGCTAACTCTGCTAAATGAATGCCCAAATACCAGATTTTGCTAATAACTTAGAATATCTATCTATTGATTGCTTTCATATAGAACATATAAAAATTCCTCAGGAAAAAGATACCAATACAAGAGACATATAAGTGCCTCAATGTAAAGGTGTGTTCAAATTGAACCCTAGATCTTTTAGCATCTTTGTTTCTGTTCTTTTCGTCTCCCTCTAACATTTCCTGAATGAGCTAGTATAAAGGCAATGGCATGATGCTGCTTCTTAGACATAAGTGATTTAAGGATCTCTAAATAGAAACTTACAAAAGGAACTGGAAGTGAAACTTGGCTGTGGCTCTGCCAGCTGAAAATGATATTTTAAAAAATTACTTTGAAAACTTAATGTGCTTTTTTGTTTATTAAATGACAAAAACCTAAAACCTGAAAAAAGATGATACATTTGATACTGATGATGGTCATTGTAGATTATGGCCCCCCAAACATGTTTCTGGCATTCTACTGTGGCACACTGTAGGATAAGCACTGGACTGCTAAGTGCAAAATTGACAGTTCAAACATACCATCTACTCCTCGGAAACTGACTACGGTTACTATGAGTTGGAACTGACTCAATGGTATTTAACAACAACAACAAAACCTGTTCCTAGGATTCCCAGTGTGGTGCCCATCAGTCTCTCCTTGGAAACCCTATCCAGTGTGGCTATGAGTCAAAACTGACTCGATGGCTCTCAACAATAACAAACCTGTTCCTAGTCCCTTTTCTGCCTGGTGTTTTATTATAAATTTTTAGTTGTACCAGCAACATATGACCAAGCAATATGTTCTCCTGGTAAAAATTTAAACTATTCAGAAGTAAAGAAAATAACAAAAAGTCTACTTTCATAATTTCTCAGGCTTTTAGCTCTACCCTCACATGTCTTTCTCAGAGGAATAATCTGGGTTGGGAACTTGGTGCATATCTTTCCAGCTCTTCAATGAGAAGGACTGACACTGTGGCCCCAACAGTGAGCTCAAACACAGACATGACATGAAGATGGTGCAGGACTGAGCGATGTTTTGCTCCCTTTGTAACCCTATGATTGGAAAATGACTTGACAGCATCTAACTACAAATGTACATAAATGTACACAGAAAAAAACCTGAAAAATAGACTTATCCATGGTATCACAGTATACAGTGTCTTACGGTTGGTTTGTTTTCATATTAATAAGATAAGCATTTTCAAGAAGACCCGCTTTGCTTGCCTAGGACAAAGCATTCAATGACTCTAATCAAGACTAGTTACCATAGTACAAAAAGCTAATAAGAAAACCTCAATATAAAAATCTCTACTGGGGATGGAACCAGAAAAAAAAAAAAAATCCCTACTGACTGCTGTCCTGCCCCTTTATGTGTTTTTAAATAAAAGGATAAATATAACCAGCTATTTCACTTCTTTCTCTCCTCTACGAGGTTCGTTTTACCAACTAGTTCAAAGGAAGCTTACAACATGTACCTCAGTTCTCCACTAGGGAGCAGCACTCCCCTGGTAGGTTGTATTTGGGTCTTAATCAAGGAGTGATAAGAGTTACAAGGGACCTTATTTTATAATAAGCTCATTTTTACAAACGAGGAACCTGAAGATTCCACAGTTAACTGGCCCTTTTGTTGTTGCTGTTAAGTGCTGTCGAGTAGGTTCTGACCCATAGCGACCCTGTATAGGGTATCTAAGGAGCAGCTGGTAAGCTTGAACCACTGACTTTGCAGGCCAGTGCATTAATGCACAGGGCCACACCAGGACTACTAGTTGGCCCTTTTAGTAGCATAAAAAAGCACTGTGGTCTCTTGATCACCAAAGCATCAAAACAAACAGAATCCCTGACTTCCAGAAACATCGAGTCTTAGTGTACCCACAGCTGACCTGTCTTTCAGGCTTGAGCTGTGCTGGACACACGGATCTCCCTGTTCCTTAAAGCCCTACAACACTTAGACTGTGTCACACCATTCAAACGCATTCGAATCTTGTCGTACTCTCTAATGATTTTGATTTATATCCTTTCTCCCACAGCTAGTTTCACTTCTGCATTTAAAA